GCTGGTGGACATACAAGAGAGTGTTGTGCTATTCTTTCAATTTTTCTGTAGGAATTCAAAATAAATAAAAACAAAACACCCACAGTACATTTGTATACACAAATACCACCCCATCAGACCACTCCTTACCACCCGTCTGTCTCCCGGTCCGACCACCATCCTCTCCCACCTGGACAAGTGCAGCAGCCCTCACTGGGCTTCTTGCCTCCTCCCTGGTCCCCTCATCATCGTCCTCATCCTTCAGATCATGCCACCCAAACCCAACGGTTCCCATCTCACTCGTCATAAAAATGTGGGTCGGGCAGTACCTTAGGAGCCCTCCAACGCCAGAGGCCCTGCTTCCTCTCTGACCTACAGTATTTCCAGTCTCTCATGCACACTTCCCAGCCACGCCGAGCACACACGCTTGCCACAGGGCTTTGCACGGCCCACAGCACTCTTCTCCAGATACATACTGGCTTACTCTTGCCTAGTTGAGCCTCATCGTGCCGATGCCAGCTACTCAGTGAGGCCTTCCCTGACCACCCTAAAACTGCAACCCCCTGTCATTTGGAACACTCCCATTCGCCCTTCCCACTGTCTAATTCACCACCACCTTGGCTTCCAAAGAATAGACTGTCTGAGTTGTTAATCGCCCATGAGGCCATGCGCTCCAGGGTTACTTTCATGGCAGGCCTCCTTAAACACCTGTCCCGAATGCTGAAGGCGGTGGAGGCCCCTGGGAGCCCAGCCCCGGAGGGCACGTACCTTCGGCCCCGGGTGCCCTTCCCGTCGGCCTGGGCCTCGTCCGCCTTGGCTTCGGTGCCATCGCCCGGCACAGCTGCGGCGGGCTCCGGAGCAGGGCTCGAGTTGCTGCTGTTCTCCTGCTTGATGGGGGAGGCGTCGGCTATGGAGCTTTGGTTGCTGTTGTCGTCTGCGGGGGAGGGCAGAAGCAGAGGCTGAGGTCCAACCGCTGCCGAGGACAGGCGGGTCGGGAGGCTCGGGTCCCTGTGCCAGGGACTCTCCCAGGAAAAGCTCTGGATACTCCCTCCTCCGGAGCGGCCCACGCCCCCCGGGGCCTCCCCCCACTCGCTCACAGAGAAGGAGCCGGTGTTTGGAGGCAGCCGGCTAGAGACGGTGGCCTAACACATTTAAACTCCTGGGGACATCTGGTGGGGAAGCAGACGCCCTGTGCATCTGGCTGTGCAGCCGCAGGACAGCGCGGCGTGGTCGCGAGCACACCGCCAACCGTCTCTTCCCACTCCACCGAGCCTCCAGGCCAACTTCCACTCGGCACGAAACAAAAGGGACAGAACAAGCAACGGCAGAGGGTGGACGTTCCAAAGGACACTTGGTCTGATCTCTCCAAGTTAATATCATTTTTATTGAAAGAAAAAAAAAAAGAAAAAAGGAGGGAAGAAACAGGGAAGGTTACCGTAGAGTGAAAGAAAGCTAGGAGCCCGACGACTACACATGATGCATGGAAATGATCTGGATCCTGTTTGGAACGTGCCAGCTGTAACATTTTGGAACAAACTGGGGATTTGAATACGTCTGGATTTAAAAGCTATTAAGGAATTGTTAATTCTGTTCGAAGTCACAGTGGTATGGTAGGCACAGAGAAACGGTATTTTTTAGCAATGCACGCTGAAATGTTTCGACATAGACTTAAATGTCACGATGCAGAGACATTTACTTTAAATGGTCTAGTGCAGGTTGCACACAACTGTCAGAACTCCTGAACTTTACACTCAAGAGCTGTGAATATTTTTAAGTAAATTAGACTTCAATTTGAAAAACTAACACATTAAAAAAATAGACGATGGGAACATGGCATGTGTTCACGAAAACCAAGGCATGGGGCACATGGGGTTCATCTCCCTATTGTTCTCTGCAATGAAACTTCTCACGATGAAAAGAGGGAATCGCTAACTGGCCGGTGGCATTCAGGCTTGGGCTGGGCAGAGCTGGGGGCCAGGGCCCCTCCTTGTCCTGTACCACTTCCAGGGCACACAGAATCAGTTTAAACTGCAGATACCCAAGTGGAGATTTCAAAAATACACCACGCTCTGGCACTGCCTTTCTAGGCCACACTGCACCTGGGACCGAGCATTTTTCAAAATGAGAGAGAGAGAGAGACAACCCAACAGGCCCAGAACCAGCTACCCGCCAGGCGCTAGGCAGGAGCATGTACAATCGCCTCGTTCAAGCCTCCCGGCCACCTACCAGGAAGGTGCTGCTACCACCTTCACTCCACGGAGGGGGGGACCGGAGGCAGAGCAGCAGAGCGGGAGCTCAGGCTGCCCGCCGGCTCCACCCGACCCGCCCAGGAAGCCACAGGCAGTCGGGCAGCCCAAATGGGTAAATTGGGTCTTATTTAAGCATACTCTGGGTGCTCGTTACACAAAAGCATCCTCCTGTGAATTCTGGAACTTAAGGGAAAAAGAGAAAAGGATGTGCGCTCTCCTGATTTATCCTTCAAGAAAATCCAAACTTCTTTTCCATGCAAGGTATGTGTGCAAGCAGCTCGACCCCAGGCTCAGGCTCAGTTGTGTTAATTAATGACAGTAAGCACTAATGCCTAAGGAGTTAGCTGTCTGAGGCTAGCCTGGTGACCTGGTAACAGGGTGACTCTGACACTTGGGCTGACACCAGCTGAGTCTTGTAGACTAACGGGCCAAATGTGTGCACCCTCTCCCGTCACCTCCTCTGAGCCCATCCTCCCACCTGAAGCCTTCCAGAAAACTCTTTCCGTGCCTGCGCGTCTCCACACCCCACAGCGTGGCGTAGTTTCGGCCGCACACGTACGAAAATGGAAATACCAAGAAGGTAAACAGGGCTCCCGAGTCCAGGGACCTGGTTGTCAGGCATCCTAGATTTTCTGGAGCATGTGTCCAGGCATAAACATGCACTCCGCCTTTGAAGGACTGCGCGAGCAGTCTCATTAACGTGATCCTTTTAAAGGATCATCTTGACTTTACACGGTCGGCACGACCAGCCTCGTTCTACGATAAAACTGAGCAAACCTGAAGGCTAGTGGCTAAGTAGCTAGCCCAAGAGCACACGGCCAGGGGAGGTCCTGGGAGAGTTAGGACTTGAACCTTGGGGGATGGTGATCTCTCTTCACCTATAATTCCATGACTATGATCCAACCAAAATCCAGAGCTGGGCCTGGGATCCCCTCGATCCCCACAGCGGAAGGGGAGCTAAGCAGTGCAGGGAGACCAGTCACATCCCAGCTCAAATATCTATTTCCAAAGATCAAACACATCCCAGCTATGATCTACGGCCAGCTGGGGGGCTCTCTTGACACGTCAACCAGCAGCCAAGCCCCGCAGGGGAACTCCAGCAAACCAACATTCCTTCTGATTTCCTTATCTCGTTACTCATCTGATCTGCCTCATTGCACGGAAGGCGAGGGTGGTCACAAGTACAAAGACCTTGGAATTAGGATGGAGAGATGGAAAAAGGCAGGGTTGCAAGCTCCTGTCCCAGTGGGCCAGGCAGGTGACAAAATGAGGTGGTGGAGCCAGGTGGCCCTGGAAGCCACATACCTCCCCCGCTTAGGGACACTGCTCGGGCTTCACACAGCCCTGCCTCGAGGGAGCACCCGCTCCGGGGAGCCAGACTGGATTTCTCAGAGGACGGCAGTAACGCAGATTTCCTTATTCGTAAATATCGGAAGCTCACTCGATTTTTTTTTTTTTTTTTTTTTTGAGACAGAGTCTCGCTTTGTTGCCCAGGCTAGAGTGAGTGCCGTGGCGTCAGCCTAGCTCACAGCAACCTCAAACTCCTGGGCTCGAGTGATCCTTCTGCCTCAGCCTCCCGAGTAGCTGGGACTACAGGCATGTGCCACCATGCCCGGCTAATTTTTTATATATATCAGTTGGCCAATTAATTTCTTCTATTTATAGTAGAGACGGGTCTCGCTCTTGCTCAGGCTGTTTCGCTGGTTTTGAACTCCTGACCTTGAGCAATCCGCCCGCCTCGGCCTCCCAAGAGCTAGGATTACAGGCGTGAGCCACAGCGCCCGGCCGCTCACTCGATTTTTTAAAAAAACTTCAGGTTTGAGTCTTTGAGGCAGTTTTCCCTGGAAGGGCAGGGACAGGGGACCAGGAGGCCGTCGGGAGGACCACAGGGACAGGCTGGGAACACTCTGTGTTCCAACCTGGGCAGGTCAGACGGGTGGGTGCGGTTTGGGAACATTTAATGGGGCCCCACACTTATGATTTGCGCCTCTCCTCCCAGATAAAAAGGCAAAAAGAGAACCAAACACCAGCAATGGGCAACAATGGCAGACAGCTACAGCACTGACACGGATTTGACGGGTGGGACGCTGGTTACAACTTCCGTTTTTTTCGGTGTTTTTTTGTTGTTGTTGTTCAGAGACAGCGTCTCACTACGCGGCCCAGGCTGGAGTGCAGTGATCACAGCGCACTGTCGCCTTGGCCTCCTGAGCTCAGGTGATGCCCCTACATCAGCCCCCCACGTGGCCGGGACTACAGGTGTGTGACGCAGCACTTGGCTGGGTTACAACTTTGGGAATAAGACAGCAAAGGAAGTTAGGCTGTGGGTGTGGATGTGGAAGAGCAGTTCCCATGGTCCTAGGGTGATTAACATGAAGTCGGAAATCTAGTTTGGAGCTTCCCAGCAGCCAAAGCAAAATGGGAAATGGAAAACATAGCAATTTATATAAGGAGGGAAAAAGAAACACATACCCCCAAAAATCTTCCTGGGCATACATGGGACAGAGGAAACATCTCTGGTGAGGTTTTGTCATTGGGTGAGGAGAGGGCCTTATTTTTATGTTTCTGGTTTATTTTACATTTCTTGGCTTGGTGCAATGGAGAGAGAAACTTCCTCCCCTGCTACTCCTTGGCAAAGAGGCCTCCTGGTCCTGCCCAGCTCTCCTACCCCTTGCCTGGAATGTGAACCAACCTGCTGAGAAACATAAACACGACCGAGTGCATCACCAAGGCCCAGGGACCCGAGGGAGAGGCCACAGACCGCGGGGCGCTCACCATGCATGTCCATCATCCCCGGGGAGGAGCTGTTCTCCGGAGTGGTCACCTCCGAGCCGCACTTCTCATCTTTGCCTTTTTTCTTATTCTTGTTTTTCTGGAGGGGAAAATGGAGCAGAGACCAAGTCACCAAATCACGTGTGTGCTCCCTCACCCGGGCCCCTGGGGAGCGGTATGAATATTTTATTCCATCAAATCCGCTTGGAGCCCTCAAGTCCCTGGAGGGCTCTCCTGGGCCAGCATTTGAACATGTTCCACGAGGGGCTGCGCTCAGGCCCTTGCCCACTTTTGAATCAAAGATCCCCGTAGCCGGCAGGATTCTGAGGCCGGCCGGGCGCTGGCACCCTGGGAAATGAACCTGCCTGTCTGCGGGGCCGGCCCCAGCAGCATGCAGACACCCTGGCTAGCAGCAACTGCCTCCTCCTCTCGGGAGAGTATCAGGGGAAAAGGCCCCCACCAGCCCAGAGCAGGTACAAAGTGACGCCAGGTGACCATGGCAAAGACACAGGTCACTCAGTTCCACTAGCTTTGTCCCCCCTGGGGCTGCCTTTCTCAAAGCGAAGTAAGCCGACTTCCAGCACAAAAACGCAGGGGGAGGTAAGGAGGGAAAAGCCAGGGAGGAAGGGGTGATGAAGGGGATGCTTTCTGTGTGCCATTCCATCTTTTACAATTGGAATAGAATCAGTTGGAAACAATCTGCATCCCTCGGTAAGAGCCTCATTAAACAAATTATGGCACATTCATCCAACGAAATCCAATGCAACAATTACAGAGAATAAAGCAGCTCTTCACGTACTAATACCGAACGATCTGCAAAAATATTAACGTATTAAAATAGTTCAATATCGCCACGACGTACAAAAGAAAGGTGCAGGACATGTGAATGCCACTGTTAGTGGGAAGCAAAGGACACACGAGTGTGTATTTGCACATGTGTCTGTGAGCCCAGGCTCCCTCTAGAAGGATAAACAAAAACTAGTAACACGAGTTGCCTCCCAGGAAGAGAACTGGGCTGGGGTGGGTGTGTGTGTGGGGACGAGACAGATTTATAAAAAGACGTACAGTCACAGGGCAACGTCTGAAGAAGTCACACAAATCCACAGGGACAGAGCACAGACTGGCTGTCACTGGGGCAGAAGAGCGGGGAAGGTGGAGTAACTGCCAACAGGTACAATCTTTTTTTTAGGGTGAAGAAAATGTTCTGGAATTACAGTAGTGATGGGTGCACATCTACGAATATACTAACATGGAACTGCACGCTTTAGAAGATGAATTTTACGGTACGTGAATCATCTTAATTAAAAAAAATGGTTTTTAGAGTGACATCTGAATTTTGTACCATGTTTCACCTATTTGAAAGGATGAAATTTTCTAGAGCTCTAAAATAAAAAATTGGTGTAGCCATACAGTCACTGGGGGTTTGAACCAATAAAAAGCTGTCCCCCACAGTGTAGATCCCCAGCCCCAACCCTCTAGAGATTCTGATTCAGCTGCCCGGACGGGGCCCAGGAATCTGCATTTATCAGGATGCTCAGCCAGGCGGGCCCCGCTGCCCTGGGGCGGGCTGGGGGTGGCGTGTTGCACATCATGGCTCACAGACGAAAGGGGAATTAGCATTTCTGGGGCACCGTCTGCACAGCCGGCACGTGCTAAGTGTTCTCCGTGGTGATATACTGCCTCTGCTCTGTTGCAGAAACCCCACGAGCTGGATATTACTGCTCCGCTGCACAAAAGAGGGGACTAAGGCCCAGCAAGGTGGGGTCACCGCCCAGCACCACAGGTTACTCGGGGCTGGTGTGTCCAGCTCCAATCCAATGCCCTTTGCCCAGCCTGGAGCTGCCTTGTCCTTCCCGACGGCCCATATACAACGCTTTCTCCTTGATCACATTCCATTTGGCACGTCCCTAATGTCTGTTTCATGCTATTCTATAATTATCTTCCCCCAACGAGATTAGAAATTCCTTGAGAGCGGGGACCACGTCTTCTCAAATGCAACCGGCGTCTCTACACCTAATGATGTGCAAGGCACAGACGCGGGCCTGGCCGGGCCTGCCTTCGAGGAGCCCGGCTGGGCTGCTCTTCCTCTGGGCAAGGAGACAGACCCAGGCTCCGTTCCTTTGGGGAAGGCAGCCCTAGTGGAGCCCCAGCCCGAACCAGAGGGACAACAAATGCCTAAGTTGTCAGCCCAGCACCGACCGCCCAGGGGCGAGCATGTGACCGCAGTATCAGAGACTGGGCACGGTGGCTCAGGCCTGTAATTCCAGCACTCTGGGAGGCCGAGGAGGAAGGATTGCTAGAGGTCAGGAGTTCAAGGCCAGCCTAAGCAAAAGCGAGACTCTGTCTCTACAAAAAATAGAAAAATTAGCAGGGTGCAGGCGTGCTCACTTGGTTAGTTTGAAGTTGCAGTGAGCTGTGATGACACCACTGCACTCTACCACCCAGGGAGACAAAGTGAGACTTTTTTTTCCAAAAAAAAAGAATGGGGCTGAAGCTGAGCCCAGCCTAGAGACCCAGGTAGGTAAAGGCAGTGGCGGGGAGGCTTAGCCCAGTCTTACAGAGGAAGCTGGGTCTGCCACCCCCCACCCCAGAGCTCACCAGTCAGGACCACATCACTCCCAGGAGCGACTGGAGCCATGAGGGTTGGTCTGAGCGAGCAGAGAAGGCAGTCCGGGTAGGACAAGAGCTCGTGCAAAGCCCGTAGGTGGGACCGTTCTGGGTTTGACCTGGGAGCCGAGGGCAGCACCTGGCCATCCAGCCCTCGCCGAGCCAGCACAGCCGCTCGAGCGCCCCCCAGTGGTGGCAGTCAGGATGGCTCCGCCCCTCCTGGAACTCTCTCACTCCTGGAGCCACCTGCCACCAGCAGCCCCAGCCGCCAGAAGGGTCTCCAAGAACAGAGAGAACATGCACTTTGCAGTCAGACAGACACGAGCTGGATTCACAGCTCCATGAGAGCTGTGTGACTCTAGCGAAGTGACTTCACCTCTCTGAGCCCATGTCGTCACTGGTACAGACAGTTAAAAAAAGATCAACTCCACTCAGTGTGAGAAGTAAATGAGCTGATGCACGTGAAGCATTAGCCCGGGGCCCAGCAGATGGCCAGGTGCTCAGGAGCGGAGCCACACTGTGGGTGCCACCCATGCCGCCCCACCTGTGCTGCCCGGGCCCCGGGGGCTCCCAGCCCAGAAGACACAACTTGCAGGGACACGCCCCACCTCTCTGTGGGCTGGCTCTGGAGAGGGACGGGGACAGGTCCAGCAGCCTCTCCAGGCCTAAGCTGGGTCCTTCTGCCTCCCAGGGGGCCTCAGCCCCAAGCTCCCATGGGGGTGGGTGACAGTAGGCAGCCCCCCTTTCCTCGTAGTGGAGGGGCATGGACAGATGGCCCCAGCCCAGGGGACAGCCCCGGATACTCACATCGTCAACCTTTGGCTCTGTCACAGGGACCCACTTGTAGATTCGCAGGGACGTGTCACCAACGGTCACCCACTTCTTCTCCCTGTGGAGGACAAGGAAGAGCCCATTACCAGGGGCTTATGGGGCAGGACCCCGCTCATGAGCAGGGGCACAGGCCACACTCCCTCGGGGCAGCCGTGACCGGGCCACTGCTTGGCCCCGGGCGTAAGAGAACACGCTCCGATCACACAGACAGGGCTTCGGCCAGTGGGGCATTTACTCTGTGGGGAGCAGGGGTACCAAGGACACGTGGGGCTCCTCCTGCCCTCCTCGTGACATTTCTGGGGGCAGCGAAGGGGAGGCAGGGCAGACACGGGGGGGGGGGGGGTTGCCCTGGTTCTGCCCTTCAGAGCAGCGGCCTCAGCCAGCCCGAAAAGAGGTCGCCCGGCCTGGACCTGTGGCAGCAGCCAGGCGGGGAGGGTGGCCCTGTCTGCACAGCCGCCCCGGCTGCATTCCAGACTCCTGAAGGACAGAGGCCGGGCCCCAGCTGCGAGAGGCCGGTCTACGGACCAGAAGGAAAAGCGGAGACGGCCTTCGATCGAGGTAATAATTACCGCACTGTCCACCACCGCCACCGGCCCGCTCCGGGCCATCGTGGTTTTTAGATTATCACACAGCCACTCGCCTTCTGCCCTTGACCCCTGCAGTCGGACTGAGTCCCTTCCAGCCCCACACACCCAGCGGAGCGGCCACACTGGAGGGGACCAGGCCTGTGCCACCCAGTGAGGAGACTGGCGGCTCAGAGGGACCCACGATGGGCTGTAGGGGCCAGACGCACACCTGGCGCACAGGTGGCATGTTACAGGTCCCCCACCTGGTCACCATGGGGGCTTCTGGGAGCCCGAGCACACTCAAAACCAGTCAGCCGAAGCCACAGACACCTCTGCCCCCAAAACGCTGCCCGCCAGGGTCCTTCACGTTCCCTGCCAGAGGATGCTAGGGCCTGGCTTTTCTTATTGTATTAATGACCGTTTCTAGTGCCTTCTACCTGCCAAGTACTGTGCTCACTAGCTCTAATCTTCACGTAACCTAGTGGAAGGAAGTGTCAACTTCTCCATTCAATAGACAAACTGAGGCATGGGGAGGTGAACTCCTGCACTATCAGGAGCAGCCCCCCCGGCCCTCAGGCCCTGCCCCTTTTAGCACAGAAAGAACAAAGGAGGCCGGGCGCAGTGGCTCATGCCTGTCATCCTACCACTTTGGGAGGCCAAGGCGGGAGGCCTGCTTGAAGCCAGGAGTTTGAGACCAGCCTGAGCAAGAGTAAGACCCCATCTCTACAAAAAGTAGAAAACTTAGCCAGGTGTGGTGGCACGAGCCTGTAGTCCCAGCTACCCAGGAGGCTGAGGCAGGAGGATCTCTTGAGCCCAGGAGTTTGAGGCTGCAGTGGGCTATGATGATGCCACTGCACTCTAGCCCGGGCTACAAAGCGAGACTCTGTCTCAAAAAAAAGAATGAAGTAAAGGGACGTATCTAAGTCACCACCCACCTGTCTGTCTCCAACCTCCTGTTGGAAGAATGGACAAGCCACAATGCCAATCTTTCACGGCCTCCATTACGAATAATCACAAGGTGCCTGGAAGGATCAAGGCATTCCCAGGAACAACCTCAGTGACAAAGAGAGCAAGCATCATAATAGCCATTGTGTACCATGGACTTACTACATGCCAGGCTTCACGCCAAGCACTGTATTTACACGCCCTCTCTGAGATTCCCAACAAGCTACAAGAGAGAAACAGTTATCACTCCATTTTATAGATGAAAGAACAGGGGCCCAGAGAAGTTATATCACTAGATTTTGGTCACACAGACTGCAGGTGGCAGAAGAACAAGGATTAAGCGCAGGCTGGGACCCCTGAGCCCACCTTGTGCTGTTCTCTTGCCCATGAAAACTGAGAACCCATTCTAGGGAGCACATGGGTAATACGAGCTGGAGGAAGCATGACAAACTGCTAGAACCCCACGCAAATGGCCAAAGCCACTCACTACGCACGAGCCCTCTCCTGGCTTCCTTGGCCTGAGCCCCAGTAAATCAACACACTCAAGGTTTGATTGTGTTAAAAAAAAAAAAGAGAGAGAGAGAGAGAGAGAGTAATTGACTTGCAATACACAGGACACCTTTCAGGGCAGAAAGTGTGTCAGAGATCTGGGCTCTGCCGGTATGGACAATCCAAGATGAAGGTCTGAAGTTGCAGCTGCTTCCCTGGGAGGCTCCAGGCCACAAGCTGAACCAGGTTCTGGTTTTCCCTTTGCCCCAGATGGAGACCCCTTGCCGAGTCCCATAGGTCACCCCCGAGATTGGAAATTGTTCTTCGGCTGCATTTCTAGGTGCAGATGTCCAGGGGGTTTCGGGATAGGGGTGAGAACGGTAAGGCCCCGTCATGTACGCCGACCTCAGACCTCGGCTCAGCCAGCAGCCCCCCAGGAGGAGGGCGCCCCGGGACTCAGGGCAAGTCACTGAGCGAGCACCAGGGAGGACAAAATGGGACTTCACAGACACACCAGGTAGGCGTCGGGGCTCAGGGGAGCAGACGAGATTTCCCACAACTGCCTCCCCAAACCCGTCACCCCAGAACACACGGCCCCCACGAGGGTTATAAGCTGCACCGTTACCTTACATCTGGGGTGGCAAACAGCTGGCCGACAGGCGTGTTTGGTTTGGCCTGCAACAGTCTGTTCTTTTAAAATTGGAACCTACTGCAAATTTCTTCTTTTTTCTCTCCTCTCTTTTCTTTTTTTTTTTTTTTTTTTTGAGAGAGGGTCTTACTCTACTGCCCACGCTAGAGGCAACGTTATCATCACAGATCACTGCAACCTCAAACTCCTAGGCTCAAGCAATCCTCCTGCCTCAGCCTCCCCAGTAGCTGGGACTACAGGCATGCGCCACCACATCTGGCTAATGTAAAATTTTTTTCGTAGAGATGGGGTCTTATTATGTTGCCCAAGCTGGTCTCAAACTGTTGGCCTGAAGCGATCCTCCTGCCTTGGCCTCGAAAAGTGCTAGGATTACAGGCGTGAGCCACTGCACTTAGCCTCTACTGCCAAACTTAAAAATCAGACTCCACATGAAAATCCAGATTTCTGGCTACTCTTGAAAACATGATCTGGGGCCACATTCCCTGAAGAGCGACAGCTTGCTCCAGATGGGCTCCTTGCTCCCTCTCATTCCCCAATTTCGCCACCTATAAGCACGGAGCTAGAACTCACCATGACACTAGGCTGTACCCAACCTTGCTGTGAAGCTGCCCGGTGTGTGCCCTGAGCCCTCCTACCTTGATGGTCCTTTGTAGTAGCCTGCTTCAATACCTCTTTTTCCCATCAGACTTGGCTCTGGGACAAAGGACAAAATGAGGTCCCCCAATGTAAGAACATAGCTCCAAATGCTCCTCCTGGCACGGACTCCTATATAAACTACAAACACCTATCCCAGATTCTCCGGCCAAGGACAATTTCCAATGTTTTCCTGGTTCAGGTCCAAGGACACATCTTGGGTCGCTCAGCACCCAAAGACCCAACTCCCCAAGAGAGTCACTTTGTATTTACTCCCTGGGCTAGCCCTGAAACTCAGGCCACGCTGCGCTCAGCCTAACCGGCCATCCAGCTACCACGCCATGTACCTGGAAGTTCTGTGATGAAACCCAGAGGCGTGAAGGTGAGGCCTCAGGCTCAGACGACCTACAGTCCAACCCCACACAAGCAAGACACTTCAGGCCAAGTGCCATGGGTCCCAGGCCTAAGTCAACTTGGCAGCTCAAGTCTCTGTCTCCACCCAACGACTCCCCTGCCCCTCTCTTCTCGACCCAGTTGGGCTCTCTAAGCCTGGCCAGTTCCCAAAAAGAGGCCACCATTTTTTTTCCCTTCGGCATCTTCTTTTGTTTCCCTTCGGCCTCACTCCTCCAGCCTGCCTTGCTGGGCACCAGACAGAAAGGACCGAGAAACTACCTGGCCGCTACAGACGTGGAGGCCAGGCTAGCTGCTGGCTTTTTCCAGGCTGGGGGTCCAGGGGGGCATTGTTAGGGTCACAGGGCACAGGAGAATACCACCCTAGGCTTACGGGACTAACATTACACCACACACCCAGCCTCCTCTGCATAATATGCAAGATGCCCAGTTAAATTTGAATTTCAGATAAAGAATATTTTAGCATAAGTATGTCCCAAATAGTACATGGGACATACTTACACTAAAAAGCATTTATTATTTTTAAAAATGTCGTTGTTTATCTGAAATTCAAATTTAACTCAGTGTGCTGTGTTTTTATTTGCTAAATCTGGCAACCCCCTGTCCCAGCCACTGGTGAAACATGGTTGGTGGCCACACAGTTAATAAAACACCAAAGCCTCAAGGGCTGATGGAAGACCCATTCTGCGGGCACAGCCACGACACGATTCAGCTTCCTGGGGGCTGGAGGAGCCCAGGCAATAAAGCCATGGCTTTTGCTTAGAGGGCAAAAGAAAAGAGAAAAAAGAAAGAAAGAAAAGAAAAAACAAGAACAACCAAACAAAAAATCACAAAGCCAAGTTTCTACAAAGTCCACTTTACAACATTTAACGAGCGCTCCATGCTCAGGGTAGGTGCTTGGCACCAGACCTTACTCATCTCAACTGCCCTAGCAGAGGAGGAACAGCACGCAGCTCTTGTTTGCCATGGTTAGAGAAGTTAGGAGGTTTGCCAAGGTCACAGCAAGGAAGTGAACTGGAAGCCCAACCGGAGATCCAAAGCCTGAGTCTTCAGAGGACAAGATGTGTCAAACGCAGGGAGGGGCAGAGACACATCCCCCACCCCAACTACAGGCTCCCGCCAGTGGGCTCAGCGACCAAGGCCTCCAGGCCGGCTGCTCTGGGCCCGCGGGCAGAAGGCCATCTCTCCATCTGCCCTCCCTGCAGAGCAGCTGGCGCCCTGCGGGAGCAGCTGTCAGGGTGCAAGAGCCTCTGCCCAGCTGGGAACCTGGGCAGGAGGCCCCACCACGCCTCCCAGCAGAGCAGAGAAAGGCGGCTTGCTGGGGCCCTTTTAAGCCACCCCGTGTGACACAAGGGACCCAGGCACAGACACCAGCCTTTCTTTGCACAGGGCTGCCGCAGGGAGGGGCCAATCCCAGCCTCCCACTGCCATCCACAGGAGAGGGCTGCGGCTGCTTCCAGTGGTGTGCCTTGGCCTGCAGCAGTTTCTGCATTTTTAAATGGCTCCGGTCAGGCACTGGGCGCCCTGCGCTCCGGGGAGCTCCCGAGGCACGCGACTGGATCTAACTTGGGAAAGCCTCCCCTTCTCACGGTTCTGAAAATTTTGTCCACTGAGCCAAACCCAGCCCACGGCCGGGCATCCAGCCATCAGACGGCCTTTCCATAGGACCCGGAGCACGTGGACTTTATTGATTTTCCTCTTGCCTTTTTGTTGGTTGACTCTGAAAGGACGGCTAACTTGTGACACGCCAGACCGAGGCTCGCCCAGTGCTCCAGAGACCCAGGCGTGACTCAAGAATGACACCCCCCAGACATAACACTCCCTGCCGGCCGGGCCTGCCCGGTTTCCGGCTTAAATAAGGGTCGGCACGGCGGCAAGCGCCGACCCTCGGGACTCCTCGGCTGCTCCCTCGCTCCCGGACCCCAGTGAAGCCGTGGGAAAAAAATATAAAGTTGAAGCCAGGGAGCTGCGAGTTTTCAACAAGTCCGACCTGGCCCGCGACGTGCTCGCGCGGGGCCGGCCCGGTGGGCGTCCGCGGCGACCCGCGAGGCCGCGACGGTCGCGCGCACGACCCGACAGGCGCGCGGACGGGCGCCGACTCGCTCGAGAGACGCGCGGCGGGCCGAACCCTTCCCCGCGCGGAGAACAAACAAGGGCTCTCTCCGCGAAACAAGCACGGGCTCCCGGGGTGGGAAGGCAGGCGCGGCCAGGACCGCTTCTGGCCAAAATCTGCGGCCCGCCCGACCGGGCGCGGGGTTGCGGGGGACGCGGCGCCGCGCCCTTCCTCCCGCGCTCGCCCATCTTTCTTCCTCGCCGAGAGCCTCGCTCCAGGCAGCCCAAAGCGCTAAATTTAAACGCTCGCGCTCCGCAAACTCGGCAGACTCGAGGCGCGGCCGGGGGGCGGGAGCGGCGGCGGGCAGGCGCGGGAGGCCGCGCGGCCGGGGCGCGGGGCGGGGCCGGGGCTGCGCCGCCGGGCGCGCGGGGAGGCGGCGGCGGCGGCCCGCTCGGAGCCTGCACAATGGAGCTCGCGCTCTCCCCGCCGCCGCCGGCATTGCGGCCCCGGCGCGCGGGAAGCCGCTTTCATGTGACTTGCACAGAACGAAATGGCTTCTGGGGCCGGCCCCGAGCCCCCCTCCCGGAGCCGGGCGCGCGGCGGGGGCTGCGCCGCTCCAGCGCCGGCCCGCGCCGCCGCCTCCGGGCTGCCGCCGCGCGCCAGGTGGGACAGGCGCGAGCGCACCTGGGCAGCGGCCCGCGGCCGCCCGGCGCAGGTGACGGCTCGCGCGCCGCCCGCCGCCCTCGCCAACTCCGGGCCCCGCGGCCGGGCCGGCAGGCGGGCGGGCGGCCGGGCGCTGCGCCCCGCGGCTTTTTGTACCCGCGCCCGGGCTCGGGGCGGCCGCGGCGCCGAGCGGCGAGCGAGCGAGCAGGCGCCTCCGCTTACCATTTGCGCACTTTCTCGATAGCCGCCATGACCCTCTTGATATCATCTTTGGCCCGGCTCCTGGTCTCGGCTCGAACCGACCTGCCCGACATGGTTCTGGCGGGGACAGAGAGGCTGGGGAGCGCGCCCGCCGGGTCCTGCTCGCGCTCCGCGGCGGCCACACTCGCGCCCGCCCGCCCGCTCACTCACTCACACACACAGACACTCACACACACACGCACTCACACACGCACTCACACACACACACACAAAGCCTGTGCCGCCGCGCGCCCGGGCCCAGTGCGCAAGCGCCGGGCGGCAGCTGCACCGAGCAGGGGGAGCAGCGCCGCCGCGGCCGCCAGCAGTGCGGCCCCGGGCGCCGCCGCCGCGGCTGCGCCCGGCCGCCGGACGCCCGCCCCGCCCCGGACGCCGGCCCCGCCCCAGGGGGGCGAGGGCGGCCGGCGACCGCTCCGCCGCGGAGGCCGGCGTGCGCACACTTACTCGGAGGCCGCAGTGCCGCGGGCGCGGGCCGGCGGGCTGGCGGGGCGGCGGGCCGCGGAGGGGCATTCCTCGGGAGCCCGCCGGCCCCCGCCCCGGCCCGGGTGTGTGGCGGCCGCTGCGGTAACGCGAGTTTCCCGCGGGGCTCTGGACTTCTCGGAGTGGAAGGCGGCGATCCGGACGCGAGGCGCTCCTGGAAAGAGTTGAGGCACTCGATCTCCGCGGCCCCTGCTCGGTGCGCGGCCCAGGACCGCCGCCCGCCCCCGGCTTTGTCCTCGTGGAAACCGGGCGGCGGAGCGGGGCCCGGGCTGAGGCAGGCCCGGGGGACTGCAGACCTTGCTCACTACGGAGCTTGCTGCTCTGGCCAAGCTCGGCGAGTGCCCGCTTCGTGGCAGGGCCACGCGTTGCCCCGTCGTCAATGAGGCGAGGGGCCTTCGCCGGGCTTTGCCAGAGGACTGCGGTTGCACTCCGAGCCACTCCTGCCTTAAGTACCAGGCTCCGACCACGTGCCGCTGCTGCACTCATGGCCCTAGCAGGCACTGAAAGGGACTGGTCAGATCCATCAGGAGCACTTCTGAGGTTTGCTTCCTCCCCGCCAGGCCTCAGGACAGAACTGCGGGGGAATCTGCGATTATCAGGATAACCCAGGGGCCGCATCTTTGTGTGCCGCTGCGTGAAGCTGACTTGACCAGAGCCAGAGCGTGCCCAGGATGACGCTGGGAAAAGTTAGCGAGCGGTGCCAGAGAGCTCAACACTAGTCCTTTCACAGGTGGGGAAACTGAGTCTCAGGCCACACGCTAACTCTGACTTCCAGTCATTCTGGTATCAGGCAGTTACCCCCCGAGGTTTGGGCAAATGGAGAAACTACAGGCCTTTTCCTAGGCAGATCTTTTTACCTTTCTGAAAGGCAAGCTCCTAATGTGAAAAATGAAGACACCTTGGAGAATCATTCTGAGGATTATATGGGAAGATGCGTAAGAGCAGGTCATAAAACAGATCTTACACTGTTGGCCATCTTCACTGTATCTGGTCAACAGATACGTGTTTCGGATTACACAGAACTTTAAAATATATATATATTTGAACTTAAAATAGGATACCATGTCAAACATCCAAATATCAACTCATTAATGTGTATATCCACCCAATGGAATATTATTTAACCATAAAAAGGGAATGAATACATGCTTAAAGGAAGTACTTATACATGCTACAACACAGGTGAACCTTACAAACATGCTAAGTGAAGCTGGGTGTGGTGGTGCCCACCTTGTAGTCCTGGCCACTCCGGAGGCTGAGGCAGGAGGATCCCTTTAACCTAGGAGTTCGAGGCTGCAGTGACTGATCTGCTTGATCAATTGATTGATCTGCTTGATTGATAGGCAGCTATCATCATGCCACTGCACTCCAGCCTAAGCAACAGAGAGCCTGTCTCTAGAAAAAAACAACAACAAAAACAAACAAACCATGCTAAGTGAGTGAAAGAAGCCAGTCACAAAAGGACAAATATTATATGATTCCACTTACATGAGCTATCTAGACTAGGGAAACCTAGAGTCACAGAACGCAGACTGGTGGTTGCCGGGGCTGGGAGGAGCAGGAGTGACTGCTAATGGGTATGGGGTTTTCTTTTGGAGTAATGAAAAACTCCTGGAATGAGTTAGTGGTGGTGGCCCGGGAGCACGTGACTTTATGATTTTCCTCTTGCCTTTTTGTTGGTTGACTCTGAAAGGACGGCTAACTTGTGACACCGCCAGACCGGAGGCTCGCCCAGTGGCTCCGAGAGACCCAGGCGTGACTCAAGAAATGACACCCCCCCCAGACATAACACTCCCTGCCCGGCGGCCTGCCCGGTTTCCGGCTTAAATAAGGGTCGCACGGCGGCAAGCGCCGACCCTCGGGACTCCGTCGCGCTGCTCCCTCCTCCCGGACCCCAGTGAAGCCGTGGAAAAAAAAAATAAAGTTGAAACCAGGAGCGCGAGTTTTCAACAAGTCCGACCCGGCCCGCGACGTGCTCGCGCCGGGGCCCGGCCGGTGGCGTCCGCGGGACCCGGAGCCGCGGACGGTCGCGCGCACCGACCCGACAGGCGCGCGGGACGGGCGCCGACTCGCTCGGAACGCCGCGCGGGCCGAACCCTTCCCCGCGCGGAGAACAAAACAAGGGCTCTCTCGCGACAAGCACGGGCTCCCGGGGTGGAAGGCAGGCGCGGCCAGGACCGGCTTCTGGCCAAAATCTGCGGCCGCCCGACCCCGGCGCGGGCGCTGCGGGCGAGCGGCGGCCCGCGCCCCTTCTCCCGCGCTCCCCATCTTTCTTCCTCGCCGAGAGCCCTCGCTCCAGGCAGCCCAAAGCGCTAAATTTAAACGGTCGCGCTCCGCAAACTCGGCAGACTCGAGGGCGCCGGCCGGGGGGGGGAGCGGCGGGGCAGGCGCGGGAGGCGGCGCGCCGGGGCGCCGGGGCGCGGGCTGCGCCGCCCGGGCGCGCGGGGAGCGCGGCGGCGCCGCTCGGAGCCTGCACAATGAGCTCGCGCTCTCCCGCCGCCGCCGGCATTGCGGCCCCGGCGCGCGGAAGCCGCTTTCATGTGACTTGCACAGAACGAAATGGCTTCTGGGGCCGGCCCGAGCCCCTCCCGGAGCCGGCGCCGCGGGGGGGCTGCCGCCGCTCCAGCCGCCGGCCGCCGCCGCCTCCGGGCTGCCGCCGCGCGCCAGGTGGGCGACAGGCGCGAGCGCACCTGGGCAGGCCGGCCCCGCCCGCGCAGGGACCCGCTCGCCGCGCCGCCGCCCTCGCCAACTCCGGGCCCGCGGCCGGCGGGCAGGCGGGCCGGGCGCTGCGCCCGCGGCTTTTTGTACCCGCGCCGGCTCGGGCGGCGCGGCGCCGAGCGGCGAGCGAGCGAGCAGGCGCCTCCGCTTACCATTTGCGCACTTCTCGATAGCCGCCATGACCCTCTTGATATCATCTTTGGCCCGTCCTGGTCTCGGCTCGAACCGACCTGCCCGACATGGTTCTGGCGGGGACAGAGAGGCTGGGAGCGCGCCCGCCGGGTCCTGCTCGCGCTCGCGGCGGCCACACTCGCGCCCGCCCGCCCGCTCACTCACTCAACACACACAGACACTCACACACACGCACTCACACACGCACTCACACACACACACACAAGCCTGTGCCGCCGCGCCCGCCAGTGCGCAAGCGCCGGGCGCAGCTGCACCGAGCAGGAGCAGCGCCGCGCGGCGCGCAGCAGTGCGGCTCGGCGCGCGCGCCGGGCTGCCCCCGGCCCGCCCGACGCCGGCCCGCCCCCGGACGCCCGCCCCGCCCCGGGCAGGGGCGAGGCGGCCGGCGACCGCTCCGCCGGCGGAGGCCGGCGTGCGCACACTTACTCGGAGGCCGCAGTGCGCGGGGCGCCGGGGCGGCGGGCTGGCGGGCGCGGGCGCGCGGAGGGGGCATTCCTCGGAGCCCGCCGCCCCGCCCGCCCGGTGTGTGGCGGCCCTGCGGTAACGCGAGTTTCCCGCGGGCTCTGGACTTCTCGGAGTGGAAGGCGGCGATCCGGACGCGAGGCGCTCCTGGAAAGAGTTGAGGCACTCGATCTCCGCGGCCCCTGCTCGGTGCGCGGCCCAGGACGCCGCCGCCCCCGGCCCCGGCTTTGTCCTCGTGGAAACCGGGCGGCGGAGCGGGGCCCGGGCTGAGGCAGGCCCGGGGGACTGCAGACCTTGCTCACTACGGAGCTTGCTGCTCTGGCCAAGCTCGCGAGTGCCCGCTTCGTGGCAGGGCCACGCGTTGCCCCGTCGTAAATGATGCGTGAGCCACTGCACTTAGCCTCTACTGCCAAACTTAAAAATCAGACTCCACATGAAAATCCAGATTTCTGGCTACTCTTGAAAACATGATCTGGGGCCACATTCCCTGAAGAGCGACAGCTTGCTCCAGATGGGCTCCTTGGCTCCCTCTCATTCCCCAATTTTCGCCACCTATAAGCACGGGAGCTAGAACTCACCTTGACCACTAGGTTGTACCCAACCTTGCTGTGAAGCTGCCCCTGGGTGTGTGCCCTGAGCCCTCCTACCTTGATGGTCCTTTGTAGTCAGCCTGGCTTCAATACCTCTCTTTTCCCAGCAGACTTGGGCTCTTGGGACAAAAGGACAAAATGAGGTCCCCAATGTAAGAACATAGCTCCAAATGCTCCTCCCTGGCACGGACTCCTATATAAACTACAAACACCTATCCCAGATTCTCCGGGCCAAGGACAATTTCCAATGTTTTCCTGGGTTCAGGTCCAAGGAGACGATCTTGGGGTCGCTCAGCACCCAAGAGGACTCTGCCAACTCCCCAAGAGAGTCACTTTGTATTTACTCCCTGGGGCTAGCCCCTGAAACCTCAGGCAGCCTGGCCTACGGCTGGCCTCAGCCTAACCGGGCCCAGGTCCAGCTGACCTGTCATGTACCTGGCAGGAAGGTTCCTGTGATGAAACCCCCAGAGGCGTGAAGGTGAGGCCTCAGGCTCAGACGTGCACCTCTCCCAGGGCTGGGTGGCAGGTTCCTCAGCCTCAGTCCCCACAGCAAGTCACCAGGGGAACCTTCAGGCCAAGTGCCATGGGGTCCCAGGCCTAAGTCAACTTGGCAGCTCAAGTCTCTGTCTCCCACCCAACGACTCCCCCTGCCCCTTCTCTTCTCGACCCACGTTGGGCCTCTCTGAGCCTGGCCCAGTTTCCCCAAAAGAGGCCCACCATTTTGTTTTCCCTTCGGCCATCTTCTTTTGTTTTCCCTTTGGCCTCACTCCTCCAGCCTGCCTTGCTGGGGCACCAGACAGAAAGGACCAGAGAAACTACCTGGCCGCTGCAGACGTGGAGGCCAAGGCTAGCTGCTGGCTTTTTCCAGGGCTGGCGGTCCAGGGGGGCATTGTTAGGGGTCACAGGGCACAGGAGAATACCACCCTAGGCTTACGGGACTAACAGTTACACCACACACCCCAGCTCTCCTCTGCATAATATGCAAGATGCCCAGTTAAATTTGAATTTCAGATAAATGAATATTTTTAGCATAAGTATGTCCCAAATAGTACATGGGACATACTTACACTAAAAAGCATTTATTATTTTTAAAAATGTCGTTGTTTATCTGAAATTCAAATTTAACTCAGTGTGCTGTGTTTTTATTTGCTAAATCTGGCAATCCCCTGTCCCAGCCACTGGTGAAATGCATGGTTGGTGGCCACACAGTTAATAAACAACCCAAAGCCTCAAGGGCTGACTGGAAGACCCATTCTGCGGGCACAGCCACGACACGATTCAGCTTCCTGGGGGCTGGAGGAGCCCAGACAATAAAGCCATGGCTTTTTGCTTAGAAGGGGCAAAAGGAAAAAAGAAAAAAAAGAAAGAAAGAAAAAGAAAAAACAAGAAACAAACAAACAAAAAAATCACAAAGCCAAGTTTCTACAAAGTCCACTTTACAACATTTAACGAGCGCTCCCATGCTCAGGGTGAGGTGCTTTGGCAGCATGACCTTACTCATCCTCAACTGCCCTAGCAGAGGAGGAAGCAGCACGCAGCCTCTTGTTGCCATGGTTAGAGAAGTTACGAGGTTTGCCCAAGGTCACAGCAAGGAAGTGAACTGGAAGCCCAACCGAGAGATCCCAAAGCCTGAGGTCTTCAGAGGACAAGATGTGTCAAACGCAGGGAGGGGCAGAGACACATCCCCCACCCCAACTACAGGCTCCGCCCAGTGGGCTCAGCCACCAAGGCCTCCAGGCCGGCTGCTCTGGGGCCCTGGGGCCCGCGGGGC